CATATTTCAAAGACTGTCCCATTTAATTCTCAAAATAACACAATAAGGTAGGATACTACTATTATAATTTGCAGATAAGGAAACGAAAGCACAGAGAGGATGAGCAACTTGCCCAAATTCACACAGCTGGCAAGTGGGGAAGTCAGTTTTAGAGAAGCAGTTGTGTTTGAGTTAGGTCATATTCCTTAAATCCTTTGTGGAATGAAATGGGACTTCATACCACAAACAAAGTAAATCAAAAAGGTAAAGGTAAATAAATCCCTAGATAAGAATTAAGGTGTCAGCAGAACAAAAAGGCATCCTACAGTATGGGAGAGTATATTTGTAAATGATATATCCAACAAGGAGTTAACATCCAAAATTTATAAAGAATTCACAAGCCTCAACACCCAAAAGGCAAATAACCCTACTAAAAAATGGGCAAAGGATATGAACAGACACTTCTCCAAAGAAGAAATTCAGATGGTCAACAGGCACATGAAAAGATGCTCCACATGGCTAATTATCAGGGAAATGCAAATTAAAACCACAATAAGATACCACCTCACACCAGACACCAGTTAGGATAGCCAACATTGAAAAGACTAGGAACAACAAATGCTGATGAGGATGCAGAGAAAGGGGAACCCTCCTACACTGCTGGTGGGAATGTAAGCTAGTTCAACTATTGTGGAAAGCAATATGGAGGTTCCTCAAAAAACTAAATATATAAGTATCATTTGACCCAGGAATTCCACTCTTAGGAATTTACCCAAAGAAAACAACTTCTCAGATTCAAAAAGACACATGCACCCCTATGTTTATTGCAGCACTATTTACAATAGCCAAGATATGGAAGCAACATAAGTGTCCATCAGTAGATGAATGGACAAAGAAGATGTGGTACATATACACAATGGAATACTACTCAGCCATAAGAAAGAAACAAATCCTACCATTTGCAACAACATGGATAGAGCTAGAGGGTATTATGCTCAGTGACATAAGTCAGGCAGAGAAAGACAAATACCAAATGATTTCCCATGATTTGTGGAATATAACAAAAAGCAAAACTGAAGGAACAAAATAGCAGCGTATTCACAGACTCCACGAAGGGACTAGCAGTTACCAAAGGAGAGGGGTGGGGGAGACTAGGTGGGGAGGGAGAGAGAAGGGGATTGTGGGGTATCATGATTAGTACACACGATGTGTGTGGGGTCACAGGTAAGACAGAGTAGCAAAGAGAAGACAAATAGGGACTCTGGCATCTTACTACACTGATGAACAGTGACTGCAATGGGGTATGGACGGGACTCGATAATAAGGGTGAATGTAGTAACCACATTGTTTTTCATGTGAAACCTTCATAAGAGTGTATATCAATGATACATTAATAAAAAAATTAATTTAAGATTAAAAAAAGAATTAAGGTGAATAAAGCATTCAAAGAAAGGAAAGAGAGACAGTTTGAACAGAAAGTTCAAGAATGACTGAGAGAAAGGCAAGTGGCTCAGATTGACTGAATAAAAGGGTTAATGCAAGGGTATTTGCAGGGGAGATTAGAAAGGGAAGTTTGAACATATTATGAAGGCTCTTTATGGAAGAAATGATCAGAAGGAAAAGATACTTGTGATTTTGTGATACTGTAAAGGGAACAATATTTCTTCAATCCAAGCATTCCTTGGAGGAAAATAACTCTATTCTATAATACTTTGTTAAAAAAAGATGCAAAATTTAATTCACACACAGACATGGCCTCAAAACTAAGTTATACACTTAGGTTTGAATTCTTTTTACCACCATCATCTTCACCACAAGAAAATCCTTGGAGTTCCCTGTAGTAATAGGTAACACTGCTCAGGTTAAAAGAAAAGGTGATACCTGAGGCCACAGCCCTACACTAACTTCCATCTCACAGGCAAATAGACTGAATAGGGAAAATGGTATCCATAAATGTTGCTTTTTCACTTTTGGGAGTCACTTTCTTCAAGAATGTGGGGAGTGAGGGAGGAGAATGGGGAAATTTCTTCATTGTCCTTTGTGATGCTCTCTGCAGTGGGAGAGTAAACACAATGCCTTTGCTCTTCTCTTCCCATTACTTAATATGAAAAAATAATAAAAATAGAAAAATTTTCAGACAAATATTTATTGTGGGCCTCTTCTATGTGCCAGACATAGTAATAAATGCAGACTTTTCCCGCATTTCCACCTTTTTAGAGATTATTTTACTGAAGAGTCTTTTTAGAGGTTATTTTTCTCAGTGCCTTTGCAGTTAAATCAGTTGTTCATATTAAGAGATGATCCCTATGGCTGCTGGTATGCCTTAGATCATGTATTTTCTCCAAACCAAGGACAAGCCTCTGACACAGCAATTCTGTAATCCAACAGACCTCTGTATAAATAATGCTTTATAGGCAGAACGGAGTACACGGTGGGAATCTAAGCTGCATGCAGCTCCTTCTGGATATTTTGGTTGATAAGACCATGCAACCCAGCACAACAGGCTGTAATTCTGCCAAGTGAGCTTAGATTCCCAGAAAAACCAATGACATGCATCAAGCTAGACGTAAGGGAGGAGTCAGAATCTTAATGAATTATCAGAGCTGGCTTAAGTTCAATGGAGACCCTAAGCATTGAAAGAATTATGGTGCATAATTCAAGATGGATGTAATTAATTCCAATAGTTTTGATTTTTCTCATGAGGACAACTTTAATTATTTCATTAAATACCAAATATGAAATTATTTCCAGAAAAAAATTTAGAGATGCCCCTCCTACTTTGTTATGCATGTACTAATTTACCTACTGGGTAATTTACCTGCTGGTATGCATAACTATATTACACATACCATAATATATATAACTATATATTATGAACTGATGAAGGTGTGGGGGTTGAGAATCCCCTAACTGGTTTAACCTCAGCCAAGGATATAATTAACTTTTGTATCATTTGGGAATTTTACTATTTTCTGCCTCCAGTGTGCGTCCAAGGAAAGAACCTTTAATAGTGCCTTCCTTTTGCAGCTCCTCTAACTTCCCCTTTCAGTGGTGGATCCTTAGAGACCTCTTCCACAATTCAAGGGTCCATCATCACAAATAGAAAAGCACTGGTTGTACCACTGTATCTGCCAATGTGGCATGACAAGAGTATGGAAGAAACGACAGAGTAGGGGAGATCCCAAAAGATCGTTATCTGGTCAGTCTAGGGCTCAACAGTTAAATGAAACATTCAGTGGGCTCTACAACTACTAGGCACTATTGCATGCACCTCAGGTCCCTAGTAATCCCCCTGGATGTGCCCTTGAATGACAGCCTTTTACTACTAGGCTTCTGCTATAGCACACTATTCCTAAACCCAAAATAGGTTTTTATATACTTTGCAATTCATGTATGTATTCCTTTAATGTTGTATTCAGCTTTCTTTGCCTTATACATATACACATTAGTGTTCTCTGTCTTCACTAAATTCTGGAGCATAGATACTAACTAACACTCCATTGTTTAATAGAGCACTGTGCCATCTGACACTTGGAAATATTTTCCGATAATATGATTATGATACTGGGATAATCACCCAATGGTTGGGGTACTGTTAACTAAGCAAAGAGTTGGGTAATTAAGAGATACCTGTAAGCAATCTTTTCTATGACACTGTCTGCCTTTGGCAAAAAAGAGCTTGCTGAATACTCTTCTGGCACATAGATGCAATTTTAGTGCTATTATCATCTGCTTTTGCAGATGTAATTAATAAAACCCAATTCTAGCAAGGCCTGAGATCATAGGTCTGAATTTCTGCTGCTACCTTCTGATTAGTGTTTAGGCCTTCCCTACCATTCAGATCTATTGTCTAACCTGTTTGTCAGACTTGATGAAAGCTGAGTCTGTGGTTTAACTGCTGCTGACCCTTACAACTGAGGACCTGTGCTAGTTAAAGACCTCATCTCTACAGTTGCTATGGAAACCCTCCCTTTCCTTTCCCTACAAACTATTCTGGTTCTCTGCCTCCACATGGTACCCTCTTCTGATTGTAGAAGAGGAGGCCTGCACATCTCCCCAAGCTCTTTCCCAGATTTGGATTTGCAAATGGTAGGACAGAGGTATAGCAGACATTGTTGCATGTACCACACAGTGTGAAGCACCCCCACCATCTGATGTTCTGCTAGTACTTATTTTTCATTCTCTGGTGTAATACTTTTATTTTCAGGGCCATATCAAAAAAAAATTTATTTTTGAGATACAATTGACCTGTAACGTTACATTCATTTCAGGAAGAGCCATGTTCAAATTGATGGCAGAATGGACTGGCTGTTTAACTATCACAGGCTTCATCACAGGGACCAGGATTGCTGTGAAGTATTTAACATGCACACACTGTCCAATTCTCTTCAGGGCCTCTACAGAGGCGCTGGATCAGAATGTGGTTTCACTAGCAGCCTTGTTGAATGGTAATTGTGCTCCTTTCTAACCTAAACCAGCCCCAAAGTGTAAGGCAAATGAGACGCCAAACAACTGCTGCTGGAGCCATATAGTGAAAGACAGGCTCTCTGATGTACAGAACGTACAGAATCACTCAACATCCTAGGTAAAAGAATATGCTGGAGTGCAGAGCATGTGACGGGGACACACTGAGGAATGGGCTAAGGTAGACTTACTACAGCACATACCATTTTTACAAGGATGTTCCAGTCAGTCTTAAACAGTGCCAGCCTCCACAGTCCTCTTTCCCATCTCCTGGTTCTTTGGTTTTGGATGGGTCAACCGCTTCTTTGGGTCAAATATTTCTCTTTCAGTTTTAAGAATTTCCTGGGGGAAATAATGCCACCGTCTCCCAAGATTCCCCAACTCACTGTGTCACTAGACTTACAGTTGGGAAAGTCTTTCCTGGGTTTTACTCAAATCCCCCTTGCTGCAGTCTGAGCTCATTGCACTCGAGTCCTGCACTCAGCAGAGATGGAGACTAGCCAAACACTATCTTCAGAACAACAACTCACCAGGGACTCAGGGCCGGAAGGTCATTCTGTCCCTCCAATACTGCGCAGCCTTCCTGAGCACGCCCTGGGCCTGGGGCAAGCAGGACAGGGGAACCGAGGATGGAATCTAGGACCCCGGCAGGGAATGGCAAAACAAAACAAAACAAAGATAAGCGCCAGACAATAATACAGGCACACCAGCACTGATGGAGGCGACGATACAAACTCGCAGACGGAGAGGACCAAGATGGCTCCCGCAGTTCGTGCAAGGCTGCAGAACGGCCAGGCAGTATTTATCCGGGGAACATCCTAACTAGAAGCTTCTTCTGGCGCCAAGGCAATCGACTCGACCCTTCACCCGACCCCTTAGAGCCCCACCTCTGCCCAACTTGGAGTGGGAGCTCCCTCTGGAGAACGATTGGGTGCTGAGGGGTGCGGCCACCAACCGCAGTCCCGGCGAGACCGCAGGGCCCAAGCCTCCGGGCCTTAGCCCGGCCCCTGCGGCGTCAGGGCTCCGCCCCCTGACAGGCAGCAGCCAATGAGCGGCTCCTGCCACCGGCCTTTAAGAACCGCGCTCACTCTCCCTGCAGCGAATGCTGCCGGCCTAGCACTCCCGCAGGGTTTCCATGGAGACTGAGGCTGGGCCCTGGCGGCCTCGCGGCGTTGTCATGGAGACAAGTCCCGAGCTGGGGCTCCGAAGCCCCGGCACACCGCTGGCTCAGAAACCCGCAGAGCCACTGTGCGACGCCGGATCCGCGGTGGCTGCAGCACGCTGGGACCTGCGGAAACACTCCTTGCTCATCGTGATCGGCGATATCGGTACAGAGAGTCAGCTGAGGGCCGTGCGGGCCCACCTTGAACAAGGTGAGCCGCTATTCTGGCTGTGCTCGGACATCCTTCATCCCGCGCTTCTCCGCCATCTGCATTTACCTCCCAGAGAGTACGTCTGCATTCTCCATCCCTAGTGTGCACCTCCTGAGACCTGGCCTCCCTGTTAATCTGAATTATCAGCCCGTCACCTGCATCTTCCATATCGTGCGTCCGTATCCGCCCCCCGAGCTGCCAATATCTTGCTTTTCCATCCTTCCCGCACACCCGGTGGCGTTCCGCAATATCCCTAAGGCAGGGGAGCTCTGTGCAGCCCCTGGGGCCCCTCTGGTCACACCCCTCTCTGGTAATGTCTCGGGCCAGATGTCCTGAAAGGACTCGCCACCCCTTGGAGAGTCCAAATGCCTACCTTAGATTCCTCTTTAGGGTACCTGAACAGGCACAGGGTGCTTTCTGAACTCTGCGGACAAATATCAGATTTCCCAATGCCGGTGGCCAACTTGAGAGAGTGACCTTCGTGGCCACGAGCTCCTTGGTCCTCACCTCCCTCCCCAGTTGTCCACCAGTGGTGCAGTGCTGCGGAGCCTCCTGAGGGTGGAAGCAAGCCTCAGACGGGTGGAGGTACAGAGCGGGGGCATAGGAGAGTCTAGAATTCCCCTTAGCTGTAAGGACCAGGAAGGCAGCCCCCAGTATCTAGGAATGGGCGTTGGGCCCTTGTATCACAACAGGGCAACTCTGCAAGAAAATTCCTGCCTGCAAACTCATTAATGACCAAACGTAGCCTAAATCCTGCCCTCCCCACTCTGGCTCTGGCAAAGCCCAAGAAAGGCACAGAATGGGAAATAGACAGGGACACTAGACACCTTTTTTAAGGATATCAGTGAGGCTGATCATGGCAGTTGTCCTTATCCCCTTACCTCTTCTGTGAGCTTGGAAAACCTCCCTGAAGTCCAACCCCCTGACCTTATTTAGTGCCTTTTTTGTTTCTTTTCCTTTCTCAGGGATTCTCTCCTGGAACATTGACTTATCAGCCTTTGACTTGAACCAACAACTGAGACTCTTCATTACCCGGCACCTAGCTCACTTCTCCTCAGAGGTCAAAGGTTAGGACTAGTGTCATTTTGTTTCAGTCCTTTGGGTGGGGACTGGTCACAGAAGAGCAAAGGTCCAGTCTCTCTGGCAGAACTGGCCTTGTGGGATGTTGAGTTGGGAGAAGGGAGGGACTCCTGAGGAAAAAGTTGCAAAACTCCATTGCTGTCCCCACATACCCAGTATACTTCGCAGACAGGTGGTATGATGGTGGAAGGAGCCTGGAGAATGTCATTTCTACCTGAGAAGAGGGTGTTTTATGGATAAGATAGGGCTTCTGAGTGATGGGTCATCTCCCATGCAAAAATCCTCTTTCTCTTTTTGTGTTCCCCTTTCTGTATACCCCAGACTCCATGCTTCCCTTTACAGAGACCCTTGAATCCCCACTCATCTTCCCAGATCCTTGCTTAGCACTTGCCCTCAGGCTGCACAGCCTACCTTCCAGATTTCAGGGCTTCTGGTTTCTCCTTTGGCTCAGCTAACAGATCTTCAGAGCAGAGCAGAATCCTGGTACCAAAGGCTGATGAGCACCATCAAATCCAGGGTGAAAGCAGGGTCTCCAGGATTTGTTGCTACAAGGGCTTGGCTACTCTTGAGGTTCGGCTCTGAGATCAGAGTTTACAGAATACAATTTCCCATTATGCTGGGTGGAAAAAATGGGCTAGGGATTCAAGAAAATAATATTTTAGAGTTATTCTATGACAGTAGCTGTGGGAGACTACAGAAAGCCCTACATACCATTATTAAAGTGCTAGGCATCTGCTCATGTTATTGGCAAATGTTGACACACTAATCCATGTGCCAGTGCCTTAATGAAATATAAAATCCATCCATCTTAACAGTCACTGACACCAAATGAGTGCATTCTTATCTCATACAGGTAATTCTCAATTATCCAGTATCATAGATAGGCACCCCTTCTCTTCCTGCTCCTTCTGTTAATTGCCACATCTTTGTATCACTGACTCCTCTAGAGACGTTCCTGGAGAAAGGAGAAGACAAGGTTAATATGACTAATACTCCATTATCTTAAGGATATGTGTAGCATTTTTTTTAATGTGAGGCTGGCATCTTCCTGTAAAGCTGGTCATTCACTGTTTTGAGACTTCCTTCTGTTTAGAATTACTCATGTCATGGGTCCTTCATTAGTACTGATGATTAAAAATTGACAGTTTTACCACTTATTACTCCTAAGAGCTTTGGTGCAAGGCTGGCTAAGGGGATGAAAGCAGGTAAAATTAATGACTGCACTGAAGTTTGGGGAGTGTCTGCTGATGTTAATAATTCATCCTGAATTCTCTAACCTTGTCCTTTTGGTCACAGAGACTTAAGAGTAGTTCTTTTGGAAGGATGTAAGAATAAACAGAACTTAAACCCTAGTACTTGGCCATACTTCAGATTAAGATGCAGGGATGCTTGGGAAGATGCTTACGGGAGAGGTATAGTTACTCTCAGGCACATCTCAAAAATAAGCACTGATATATAAATACTTACTAGATCTTTTCAGCCAAAGAGTTTTGCCATGGTGTCCTCAAGGGGTTTAGGGCCATATACACAAAATCAGGCTTACGTTAGCATACTGAATTTTTTTAGGTTTGGACATTTTTATGGTGTCCTGTCTTATGTCCCCAGAGAATAGTGGAGAATTTCCTGGAAAAACCCACATGGCTTGAGACAACCACAGCCCCACCCTGCTGGCTCCTCTTTCAGCTGTCCCCACAAACAACAGCCAGCCCAAAGCAGCTGCAGACACTGCCCCTCCCTTCAGCCTCCTGTGAGTGGGGAGGCAAAGGGAACCAGGAGGCTGGGATGGGCTCAGGGGTACATGCTAGTACCGCCTGACTTAATCCCTTCTGGCAATACCACAGGCTGGGCCACCATTCCTCTCACCTCTCCTCAAACCCTGGGCCAAATGCTGAGAAAGGGGACAAACATGTATCCTACAATGACAGGGAGAGAGCAATCATTCCTAGCCAGCACCCTCTCCACACACTCAACATACACACAGGAAAGGTTCCCCACTCATGGAGAGTCAGTGGCCCAGCTCCTTCTAGCGGTCAAATCTGGTAAAGGCTTTCCAATGTGAATTTTGCACCAGATAGTCTTTAGTGGTGAATTGGATGGAGCCTTACTTTCTAACCCCTGCAAAAATTCTGGGGCTTCCAAGCATTAGAAAACAAATGCTGAAACAATTAGGACAGTGGAAAACTGAGTTGAAATAGCACTCTGACACTTCTACTGTTGCACACCTGTAAGTAAGAAAGGGAGCTTCATAATTTGTATTCATGATTGATTTTAAGACTCTTAAAAAAAAACACAGGCTGAATGACAAATTTGGAGGTCTTCTGTCTGACTCTCCATTACCACTGATGTGCTCAGGAAGTCATAGTTCTGTTACTTTTGCAAACACAAAAGCCATTCTGAGTAAATACAGCAGCTTAACCTGGGGGTGTCCCTTCCTGTAAGCATCTACAGTTCTGGGTTTACTTGGGAGCTAAGGGTACTCTAGAGTTGGTCTGGTCTAAGATCTGATTTAGGATTTCCCTGATCACCTAGATGACCTCTCATAAATCTTCCACAAAAGGGAGACAGACTTCCAGTGGCATTTGGGCATTGAAGGTTTAGAATTCTAGGAATGAAGCATTTTTTAATTTCTTATGCCCCTTACTCCTTACAGCATGGTTAGAGGGTGGTATTAATGTTACACTCATTTTATAGTTCTGGAAGCAAGCTTTCAGAGAGGTTAAGTAGCTTGTTTAACAGCATGATTAGTAAAATGGTAGAGTCAGGCCTCAAATTCAGGTCTTTTGATCGTACTTTGTGTTTAAGTTCAGGCCTCTCTCTTTTCTTTGGCGTCTCACCATTTCATGGTGGCAGAGTCTGGGAACCCAGCGGTGGAGGGTTGGTGGTGGTGGGTGGTTGTTCAGAGGGTGAGAATTGAAGGAAAACTCCCCTGAGTTGGAACAGTGTCCAGGGTGTGGCCCTTAGGGGTAGCAGCTGAGAATAAGGGTGGGCTCTACGTTGAACTGGGAAATGCTATTTTGTTCTCAAGCCAAAATGTCTGCTCAATTTTCCCTCTTAGCCCTAGAGAGCCCTAGAAAGCAGAAAGGAGATAGAAGGTTTGAGGTGGGAAGAAATAAGAAATACGAAGTTGCAGAAGGGAGGTGTTTCCCTTTGTGATGCTCGGAACTCAGCTCCGTTTGTGTTGTGTACCCTGCAGATGGCTTCCTCTCCCCAAACGGGGCTGTTGCCATGTTGCTGCTTTGCATCCCGGGTTCTAAGCAAGGATTCCTCCTCTTCCCTCCTCCCCCCACCTAGTGCTGGTGACTCAGCTCCTCCTCTCCTCTGGCTGCAGTGAAGCGGGGGATGGGGGATGCTGAGAGCAGTGACTATTTTGGCTTCTCTGACCTTCACAAGCAGCTCTTGGCAGCCTGGGGCAAGGGTGCGGCTGGTGCCGGGGTTTGAGTGAGTGGATGTCTATGCGAAGAAGGCCTTAGGAGTAGGCCAGGGCTGGGGAGAGTTAATGAAAAGGAGAGGGCAGGGAAGGACTGTGGGAGCAGGAGCATCTCTGGACTGGAACTGAGTGATGGAGCTCTCCGGATCCTCCTTCAGTGTCCTGGAACACAGCACTAAATCTGAGACCAAGGTAGAGACAGAGGGAAAATGGGCCAGTATTAAAAGGATTAAGATAGTATAAGACATTTTTTCATGTGAAACCTTCATAAGAGTGTATATCAATAATACCTTAATAAAAAATAATTTTAAAAAAGAATATAAAAGGCCATGTGATAGAATTACAAATGCCCAGTGGCATGCCTAATGAGTAAAAAAAAAAGTATAAGACAGAGACACAGAAAAGTACAGAGACAGGAGAGAACAGGGACCCAATGCCCTCTTACTATATGAACTTTTTAATCCAAAGAGTACTTTGTTACATTTAATAATTGGCCTATAGTAAGGAAATATTGCTTGGGCCTGGGGCCCTGGTGATCCTCCTCCGACCCCGTTAACACTTTCACTGAAATGCAGCAAGCACCCTGCCTCTTCAGAGTCAATGACCCAAGAATTCCAAATATCAGTGCCTGTGCAGCCAGCCACAAGGCTATGCTGCCTTCGCACCAGACTACATGCAGCTCCCAGGGTCCCTGTGCCCCACCCCAGATGGGCTAGGGACCATGTGTCCACCCCAGAATTTCAAGTCATGCTACAACCTACAAGGAGACTTATTTCTGCCCTCCCCTGGTTTCTGTAGCTGTGGCTCGGAAGCCTCAGAGCTCAGCACACCTCCTGTCCCCAGCCTTCATCTCAAGCAGTCTTGTCACTCCTACCCCATTCTTTCGGGTCTGGGCCTCTTTGTCTCCAGCTCCTCCAGGGATTGAAGGTTACTCCCTAGATCTGAGGGGAGAGGCAGCCCTGGTTCCAGAGAGAAAGAGGGCCCAGGCAGCTCCTACCTCCTGTGTCCCCGAAAATGTGCACAGGGCTTTTGTCTTTTGTCTGATGCTAAAGAGTATTTCTTGACTAAGCAGGGTTGGGGGAGAAGGGCCCTGTGGGCCCTTGGAGGCCACTCTGGCTCTTTGAGCTGCTAGACAGCTTCTCAGCCCCCAGAGCCAAACAGAAGCACCAGAGCACTGACATTGTGAAGGCAGAGAAACAGTTAAGTCTCCAGTGCCTCGTCATGGACCAGTCCCTCTTCCCCGCCCAGGCACCGCCCTCCCCAGCAAGCACCCCCCCTCCACTCCCACCCCAAGTGCTGCAGACTCTTCCCTGAAGCTGCCGGCTGAGGCCGGAGCTGCTGCCTCCATGAGGGGTTCCCACCCACACCCTGGGTAAGAGCCTAAGGAGGGCGGAATGCAGGGTGGAGGATGCTGTGATGGGGGTAATGGGAAGGGAGTTGATACCCAATCTGAGTTGGAAACTAGCTTAGCAGGATGGACAGGATGGGGGGACGAACAGTACTGGCTGTGGGGCCAGCCCAGACCTAGACCCAGGCAGAGACCAGTGGGGCTGGAACTAGATAGTCCTCTCAGGCTGGGCTACACCAGAAGACATCAGCCTAGGGGCTGCAGGAGAGGAGGTGTCACTGGTCCTGCCTGGCAGCCCGGGTTGCCGGAATATTTGGGGGCTATGTCTCAGGCAGGGGCAGAAGAATTTGAGGGAAAGGCAGATATTACGGGAATGTGCCTAATGGGAGGATCTCTGGTGTCAGCTGCTGGATTGCTCAGCTGCTCCTATGCTGGGAGTGGATAGGACAGCGAGTTTTTGCCAAGTAAGGGAAGGTGGGGGACACTGTGGAAAAGAAGGGAGGAAAGGGTCATTAAGACGTGGCACACACCTCTCTACAGATCAACTTATTTGCATGGGTTCCCCACATCCCATTCCCTGCGACTACTGGGACTCTAAGCACCCCCTTTCTGGCTCCCTCTAGAGAGGAGGCCACTCCGGAGACTGAGAGCACTCCCCCCCCCAGCAGCTGCCCTGCATTCCCAGTCCTGTCAACCCCACAGGTTCCAAGTCTCGGCCCCACCCCCACCTCATCTCCGCTTCTCTTCCCAAGATGGGGGCTCTTGAACGGAGGAGCCAGTTCCTTCTCCCTCTCTGCATACCCCGCTCCCCAGCCCCCTTGCAGAAGCAGCCAAGAAAATGACTTGTCATGCTGGGGGGTGGGGGCGGAGCTGGAGCCCAAGCTCTGTGCGCACACTCACACACTGCGGCAGACTGCAGCTGCCCAAGCGGGCCCCCCCTCTGCCTCACTGCGGAGACACCTGCCCTCTGGCCTGCTCATCTCAGCACCCCCTGCCCACCCCTGGCCCCATCACTGGCCAAGGGAAGTGCCCCTGCCTCACCAGAAGTCCTCTCCAATGAAAAAGGAAAAAGCAAATCAATTCCCGTCATGGGATTGCTGGGGGTGGAGAAGAGAGAAGCAGGGCTCTCTCCCTGGCCTGAAAAGGAGGCTCCTAGGATATACACCCTGTAGTTGCCAGTCAGAACTAGAGAGCGCATGGGTGAGAGATGGGGTCTTGTGCCCAGATAGGAACTAGGATCAGAGAAGTCGGGGGGTTATGAAGGGGACTGTGAGGAGCCGTGGGCTGGAGGAGTAGAAAGCAAGCACATCAGTACTGCAGGTGTTTCTCTTCCTGTTTTACTTGTGTATATGTGGTGGGGGCAGGGGTAGGGTAGGAATTGCCCTTCTAAATCTGAACAACTTAGGGCTACCTGAACCTTCTTATCCCTTACCTGCCCAAGCCTTACCCTTGCCTGTTTCTGAAGTGGTTCTCATCCTCTTAACTGACCTCAAAACTTCTCTCCCAACTCCTAATAGAAGAGAATTCCTCTTGGGCCCCACCCACCCTGTGTGGGGTCTGTTCTTCTGACACCATCCATCCATGGTTCATTTCCCCTGCAGCTGCAAATGCAGCCCTATCTGCCAAATCTGCCTCATCCTGGCATAACACGTCTTTTTCTTAACAAAGGCCTTGGCCCCAGGCTCCTCTTATCTGAGCCCCAGAAAGAGGAAAGAGCTGGGTCACAGAAGAGGGTCTAGGGGACAGACTATGAGCCCTCCCGCCAATATCCTCCAGACAGTCCACTTCCCAGGCCATCTGCTCCACTCTCTGTTTGTACGGTAACCCCACTGTGTGCTGCAATTGGAAAAGGAAGAGCAGTGGGTGGCAGCAGCCTTCAGTACCTCCTAACCTGCCACTTTCTTTCTTGGCTGCATTGCTCTGTGTTCTGTGTGAGTCTGGAGAAAGGAGGTAAAGAGGGCTTATCTGTCTTCTCTGTCTCCATGGCCTAGGGAACTTGCTGAATCTCTTCTTCCTTATTTGCTTCTTGTTTGTGAGCCCCTACCTCCCCTCTCTGTGGCAGAAGGCCCATAGGAGAGGGGCAAGGATGACAGGAGAACCTGTTCACAAGGGATGGGGCATGGGGCAGTGAACCAGGCCTCTCAAGCCTGGGGACACAAGGTGAGCAGGGAGAGGGAGCCGTGAACCCTTTGGTGATGGGAGCAGTTTGATTTTGTACATCTTTGTGAGAACAGGCTTGGCCTCTGAGGAACCTGAGAACAGAACAAGATGTTATAGTCCTATTTCTACTCTTGAATTATAAAACCCCAAGGGTTTAGATAGTACAGACTCCTCTGAGTCTTTTGGGATGTGAATTCTGTCATTCAATAGGAGCTGGAAAGGAGGATGGGGAATCTTAACACAGCATGGAAGCACCTACCTCCTTAGTTCCAGGCACTCTGCTGCATGAAAGCCCAGGGCAGAGGCAAGTTAGTGAGGAGAGAGCTGAGTGAGGATCGTGGTCCCAGGAGCCCTCCTCCAGCTGAGTCCCCCATCCCCAGGCAGCACCAGGAGCTCAGTGCTCTGGAGGGACAAAAGCTTCTTGTTAACAGGGCAGTCTGAGGCTAGAGTGGGTGGGGGCCGCGGGGGTGGAGAGGAAGGGTGGGAGAAGACAGCCAGTGTAGGAGAAGGGAGGAGGAAACCCTGACACGGAAAGACTGAAGGAGCCAGTCCCTTGGCCTCACTCAGCAGTATCCAAAGTGGCCAGATCTAAGGGTAGCCAGGCTTCTCTTTCTCCTAAACCTCATTTTCTCATAGTGCATTTTCTCTCTCCTGCCCACACAATTCCTCTGTTTTAGTCTATACTCACTCACTTCAATACAAATTCCTGCATCTCTCCCTCAGGCCAAAGGACCCTCTGCCACCAGAGTGAGACCCTAGAGACCATCATCCTGGTAAATCCCAGTGCCGACAGCATCAGCTCTGAGGTAAGGCCAAGGCCTGGGCCTCGCCACAAGGGCCTGCTGGCAATGCTATAACCCACCCTTGCCAGTACCACTGCTGTAGGGCCAAGAATTCCTGTACTTGGCTTTGAACCATCCTCTCTCTGCCATCTAAGCTACCTTATAATCCCCAGCACCCCTCTGGAGGTGTCGTAGAGCTACTAGTGTAGAGCGTGTCTTTGTAGCACTGAGGGGAGACCAGGAACATTCAGTGTTCTTCCCTCAATTTCCTACACCTGTGACAACTTCTCTCCTTCTGTTCCAGGTTCACCATCTTCTTAGCAGCCCATCAGCTCACAAACTACTGATCTTGAGTGGGCAAAGTTTAGAGCCCGGGGGAGACCTCATCCTACAGACTGGCACCTATTCCTATCAAAACTTTGCCCAGGTCCTTCACAACCCAGAGGTAAGGTCTGGGAGGAATGGAACATGGGGTAGGACTAGAGCTGTAGGGAGGGATCCAAAGAAGGGAAAATCTCATATTGCTTGACCATCAGGGCCCTGGCCGAAAGGTAGGAGATCACCCTGGAAAGAGGTAGAGCTTAGCAGATTGAATCAGAACTGGGTTAACACTACCCCAATGATCTGATCAGCTTTCTGTCTCCCATTGCTCTAGATTGCCCAGTTGCTCAGCAATAGAGACCCTGGGATCCAGGCCTTCCTCACTGTATCCTGCTTAGGGGAGGGTGACTGGAGCCACCTAGGACTATCCAGTTCCCAAGAGACCCTGCACCTTCGGCTAAACCCTGAGCCCACGCTGCCCACCATGGATGGCGTGGCGGAGTTCTCTGAGTATGTCTCTGAGACTGTGGATGTGCCATCCCCCTTTGACCTGCTAGAGCCTCCCACCTCAGGGGGCTTCCTCAAGCTCTCTAAGCCTTGCTGCTACATCTTCCCTGGAGGCCGCGGGGACTCTGCACTCTTTGCCGTTAATGGCTTCAACATCCTGGTGGACGGTGGCTCTGATCGCAAGTCCTGCTTCTGGAAGCTGGTACGGCACCTGGACCGCATTGACTCGGTGCTGCTCACACACATCGGAGCAGACAACCTGCCAGGCATCAATGGACTCCTACAGCGCAAAGTGGCAGAACTGGAGGAGGAGCAGTCCCAGGGCTCTAGCAGCTACAGTGACTGGGTGAAGAACCTCATCTCCCCTGAACTTGGAGTTGTCTTCTTCAACGTGCCCGAAAAGCTACGGCTGCCTGATGCCTCCCGGAAGGCAAAGCGCAGCATTGAGGAGGCCTGCCTCACTCTGCAGCACCTAAACCGCCTGGGCATCCAAGCTGAGCCTCTGTACCGTGTGGTCAGCAACACCATTGAGCCACTGACCCTCTTCCACAAGATGGGTGTGGGCCGCCTGGATATGTATGTCCTCAACCCTGTGAAGGACAGCAAGGAGATGCAGTTCCTCATGCAAAAGTGGGCAGGCAATAGTAAAGCTAAGACAGGCATTGTGCTGGCTAATGGGAAGGAGGCTGAGATCTCAGTGCCCTACCTGACCTCTATCACTGCTCTGGTGGTCTGGCTGCCAGCCAACCCCACTGAGAAGATCGTGCGTGTGCTTTTTCCAGGAAATGCTCCCCAGAACAAGATCCTGGAGGGCTTGGAAAAGCTTCGGCACCTGGACTTCCTGCGCTACCCTGTGGCCACACAGAAGGACTTGGCTGCTGGAGCTGTGCCTGCCAGTCTCAAGCCCAGCAAAATCAAACAACGTGCTGACAGCAGGGAGAGCCTCAAGGCCACTGCCAAGACAGCGGTAAGCAAGCTAGCCAAACGGGAGGACGTAGCCGAAGAGGGAGCCAAGGAGGCCCGCTCAGAACTGGCCAAGGAGTTAGCCAAGGTAGACAAGAAGGCAAAAGAGGTGTCTGAGAAGCCCCCGGAGAAGCCTGCCAAGCCTGAGAAGGTGAAGACAGAGTCGAGTGAGGCTTTGAAGGCAGAGAAGCGAAAGCTGATCAAAGACAAAGTGGGGAAGAAGCACCTTAAAGAAAAGATATCAAAGCTGGAAGAGAAAAAAGACAAAGAGAAAAAAGAGATCAAGAAGGAGAGGAAGGAGATCAAGAAGGATGAAGGAAGGAAGGAGGAGAAGAAGGATACCAAGAAGGAGGAAAAGAGGAAAGACAACAAACCTGAGATCAAGAAGATTTCTAAGCCAGACCTGAAGCCTTTTACTCCTGAGGTGCGTAAGACCCTCTATAAAGCCAAGGCCCCTGGCAGAGTGAAGATGGACAAGAGCCGGGCTGCCCGTGGGGAGAAGGAGCTGTCCTCTGAGCCCCGGACACCCCCAGTCCAGAAGGGGGCTGTACCACTCCCAGCAGCCAGGGGACACAGGGAGTTGGCCCTGTCTTCCCCTGAGGATCTCACACAGGACTTTGAGGAGATGAAGCGTGAGGAGGGAGGTTTGCTGGCTGAACAAAGGGACATAGGAATAGAAGAAAAACCACTCCCTGCAGACACTGCAGAGGAGGGACCCCCAAGCACAGGTGCCCAGGGGACACCATCCTCTGTCCCAGGGCTGGAACAAGAAGAGCCTGTGATGAAGGAGAAAGAGATTGTCCCTGATATCGCTGAGGACCACAGCAACAAGGATAGAGGCCCAGATTCTGGGGCTGAAACAGAGGAAGAGAAAGATACCTGGGAGGAAAAGAAGCTAAAGAAAGCAGAGCAGCTCCTTGATAGAACAGAAGCCAGAGAGGAAAGTGAACCTGAGGTAAAGGAGGATGTGATAGAGAAGGCTGAGTTAGAAGAAATGGAGGAGGTGCACCCTTCAGATGAGGAGGAAGACAAAGAGACAAAGAATGAGGGTTTTTACCAAAAGCATATGCAGCAAGCCTTGAAGGTAACTCCAAAAGTTGGGGAGGTTCTTGGGGGCCGGGAACCAGGACTGCAGGTCAAAGCCCCTGAGAAGGAGACCTCATCATTCCTAAGCAGCCTGGCCACACCTGCATGTGTCACGGAGCATGTCTCTTACATCCAGGACGAGACAATCCCTGGCTACTCAGAGACCGAGCAGACCATCTCAGATGAGGAGATCCACGATGAGCCAGAGGAGCGCCCTGCTCCACCTAGATTTCCTGCCAGTGCATATGGCCTCCCTGGGCCTGAAGGTCCTGGCCCCTTTGAGGCAAGCCGGCCTGCAGACAGTGCTGTTCCTGCCACCTCAGGCAAAGGCTATGGCACACCAGAGACTGAACTGAGCTACCCACCCAACATGGTGGCTGCCCCTTTGGCTGAAGAGGAGCATGTGTCCTCAGCCACTTCAATCACTGAGTGTGACAAGCTTTCTTCCTTTGCCACATCCGTGGCTGAGGACCAGTCCGTGGCTTCACTCACAGCCCCCCAGACAGAGGAGACAGGCAAGAGCTCCCTGCTGCTCGACACAGTCACAAGCATCCCCTCATCCCGCACTGAAGCCACTCAGGGTTTGGACTATGTGCCATCAGCTGGGACCATCTCACCCACCTCCTCACTGGAAGAAGACAAGGGCTTTAAATCACCACCCTGTGAGGATTTCTCTGTGACTGGGGAGTCGGAGAAGAGAGGAGAGATCACAGGGAAAGGCTTGCCTGGAAAGAGAGCTGTGGAAGAGGGAAAGGAGACCGCAGATGGAGAGATATCAGAGAAACTTCACAGTCAGTATGGAGCCCCGATGTTTGGTGCCCCTGGGCACACCCTCCATCCAGGGGAACCAGCCCTGGGAGAAGGAGAGGAGCGCTGCCTCAGCCCAGATGACAGCACAGTTAAGATGGCCTCACCTCCACCGTCTGGTCCACCCAGTGCCACCCACACACCCTTTCATCAGTCCCCAGTGGAAGAAAAGTCTGAGCCCCAACACTTTCAGGAAGCAGACTCTTGGGGATACACTGGTCCAATACCAGGTGTGGGCAAGGAGGATGCTACAGAGAAGACAGTCAAGCCAGGGCTTGAAGAGGGCATACTAGAAGATGAGGGAAAGGCGCCTTCATCCAGGATGCCCCAGGCCCCGGAAGCACCTGTCAGCATTGCTGGGGGACATACAGGCTACACCACCCAGCTGTTGTCAGAACAGGACAAAGCAACAGTCTTTGACACAGTGGAGGCAGGAGAGCCTCCAGGACCAATTCTGGGAACAGAAGCCCTTCCCAGTGATTTGAGGACATCACTTCAAGAACCTGATGAACCTCAGAGAGATGAGGTGCTCCAATTCCCTGACCAAAGCCTGTCCCCTGAAGATGCAGAGTCCCTCTCTGTCCTCAGTGTGGTCTCCCCAGACACTGCCAACCAAGAAGCCATCTGCAGGTCTCCCTGTGGTCTGACAGAGCAGCACCAACACAAAGACCTGTGGCCAGAGGTATCTCCACAAGACACCCAGTCACTTTCTCTTTCAGAAGAGAGTCCTAGCAAGGAGACCTCTCTGGATATCTCTTCTAAGCAGCTTTCTCCAGAAAGCCTTGGCACCCTCCATTTTGGGGAACTAAGCCTTGGAAAGGAAGAAAAGGGGCCTCAGATGCAGGCTGAGGACACCCCTCACCACCTAGCTCCTGTGTCTAGTCTAGAACCCTGTACAGCCACAGTGTCACCTCCCACAGATGGGACCACTGGATACTCTGTACAGGCAGACATCACGGATGAGAGTTCTGATGGAAAATTCCCTGCTAGCTCCTTCTCTCATTCTACACTGTTGGGAGATGGGAAGCCTTCACCTGGAGTGATCATGAGCCCTGATGAACACATTCTGACACCTGATAGTTCCCTCACCAAGAGTCCTGAGTCTTTGTCAAGCCCTGCCATGGAGGACATTGCCATGGAATGGGAAGGTAAAGCTCCAGAGCTGAAAGACAGAACCTCAGAGCAGAAGGACGAGGGACCTGAACTAAAGGACAAAGTCCTACAGCAGAAGCACAAAACTCTGGAGCAGAAGGATGTTATTGTACAGCAGAGGTATACAGTCATTGATCAGAAAGATGGGGGTCTGGAAGAAAAGAACAAGGCTGTGGAACAGCAGGAGAAGGCTTTAGAACAAAAAGGTAGAGACTTAGAACAAAGGGACATGGCCCTGGAGCAGGAGGACAGAGACTTAGTACAAAAAGTCAGAGACTTAGAAGCAGAAGACAGAGACTTGGAACCCAAAGACAGGGACTTCCAAAAAAAATCCAAGGCTCTGGAGCAGGAGGACAAGGTCCCAGATGAGAAAGATGGAGCCTTAGGACAAAAAGTCAGAGACTTTGAACATAAAGATGAGACTCCAGAGGACAAGGCCCCTGAACTGAAGGGCAAGGCCTTGGAACAGAAGGATCGGGCATTAGAACAAAAATCCTGGGCCTTAGGACAGAAGGATGAAGCCCTGGAACAAAATAACGTGGTTGAACAGAAAGATAAGAAAGATCTAGAAGGGAAGGATAAAACTGGGGAGCAGGAGAGCCCAGTGCAGGATAAAACCATTAAACCAAAGGTGATCTTAGAGGAAAAATCTCTGGAAAAAGTCAAGGCTGTGGAACAGAAGGAGGAAGCTCTGCTGGAGAAGACAAAAGCTCAGGGGCTGGAAGAGAGGCCAGTGCTAGAGGACAAGGCCCAGGAGCAGGGAGAAAAGTATTGGCAGGAGCAGGACCTAGTCCAGGAGTGGAGAGAAATATCTCCCAGCAGAGGGAAGCCCATTGGAGAACGGAAAGAGCCTGCCCAGATGTGGGAGGACACATCTCCTGAGCCTGAAGACCAGTACTGGAGGGGCAGAGAGGATGTGGCCCTAGAACAGGACACATACTGGAGGGAGCTGAGCTGTGAGCAGAAGGTCTGGTTCCCTCACGAGCTGGATGGCCAGAGAGCCCGGCCTCGGTACACAGAAGAGCGGGAGAGCACTTTCCTCGATGAGGGGCCAGATGATGAGCAAGAAGTGGCCCCCTTGGAGCACACGCCCCAGATCCCCTGGGCCTCAGACTTCAAGGGTTTCCAGGAGCCCTCACCACAGAAGGAACTGGAGGTGGAGCACTGGCTTGCTGAGTCACCAGTTGGGCTATCAGCAGAGGAAGAAGACAAGCTGACTCGCTCCCCGTTTGAGATCATCTCTCCTCCGACCTCCCCACCAGAGATGGCTAGACAGAGGGTTCCTCCGGCCCCAGGACAAGAGAGCCCTATCCCAGACCCTAAGGCCATGCCACCCTTGAGGAACGAACCCACCACCCCTTCATGGCTGGCTGACATCCCACCATGGGTGCCCAAGGACAGACCCCTGCCCCCTGCACCCCTCTCTCCAGCTCCAGCTCTGCCCACACCTGCTCCAGAGCTACACACTCCTGCCCCCTTCTCCTGGGGCACAGCTGAGTATGAAAGTGTGGTGGCTGCAGTGCAGGAGGGGGCAGCCGAGTTGGAAGGTGGGCCATACTCCCCACTAGGGAAGGACTACCGCAAGGCTGAAGGGGAGAGGGAAGATGAAGGTGCGGCTGGGGACCCTGACTGCAGCCCCTGCAGCTCAATGGGCCCAGGGGCCAGCAAGAGCCATGCCACCAAGGAGCCCGAGCAGACTGAACCAGAGCAGAGAGAGCCCACACCCTATCCTGATGATAGAAGCTTTCAGTACACAGACATCTATGAGCAGATGATGCTTACTAGGCCTGGCCCTGCATGCCCCACCAGGGAGCTTCCGCTTGGAGCAGCTGGGGATTGGCCTCCCTGCATTTCAACCAAGGAGGAGGCTGCCGGCCGAAATACATCTGCAGAGAAGGAGCTTTCCTCTCCTGTCTCACCCAAAAGCCTCCAGTCTGAAGCTCCAGCCTTCAGCTATGCAGCCCTGGTAGGACCCACCTTACCCCCAAGGCCTGAGCTAGGGCCAAGTGTGGAGCCCAGCCTCACCCCACCTGCAGTACCCCCCCGTGCTCCGATCCCCCTGAGCAAAGGCCCAAGCCCCCCTCTTAATGGTAATGTTCTGGGCTGTAGCCCAGATAGGAGAACCCCATCCCCAAAAGAATTGGGCCAGGGTCACTGGGGTGACAGCACTAGTGACTCAGAACTGGAAAAGGGTGCTCGGGAGCAGCCAGAGAAAGAGGCACAGTCCCCAAGTCCCCCTTACCCCATCCCTGAGGGTTCCCCCACATTGTGGCCTGAAAGTGAGGCACATACCAGCCCTTCCTCCGAGTCACACCTGGGTCCTGCCCGACCCAGCCTGGACTTCCCTGCTTCAGCCTTTGGCTTCTCCTCATTGCAGCCAGCTGCCCCACAGCTGCCCTCTCCAGCTGAACCCCGCTCAGCACCCTGTGGCTCCCTTGCCTTCTCTGGGGACCGAGCTCTGGCACTGGCTCCTGGGCCCCCCACCAGAGCCCGGCATGATGAGTACCTAGAAGTGACCAAGGCCCCCAGCCTGGACTCTTCACTGCCTCAGCTCCCATCACCCAGCAGTCCTGGGGCTCCTCTCCTCTCCAGTCTGCCACGGCCTGCCTCACCAGCCTTGTCTGAAGGCTCCTCCTCTGAGGCCACCACACCTGTGATTTCAAATGTGGCTGAGCACTTCCCTCCTGGCCTGGAGGCTGCAGAACAGGGGTCTGGAAAGCTGGTCCCAGGAAAGGAACCACCTGCCCATAGCCTCTGGGACCTCACTGCTCTGAGCCCAGCACCCCCAGCTTCACTGGACAGGGCCCCAGCTCCAGCTCCAAGCCTGCCTGGTGATCTGGATGATGGCACCCTGCCCTGCCGCCTGGAATGCTCAGGGGCAGCCACCAAGAAGCCAGACACCTTCCAGGGGCCCTCTGGGGAATGTGCCTCCAATGGCCCAACAGAAACCAGCCCCAACCCTCTAGGCCCTGTCCCAGCCAAGGCTGAGAAAGGTGTGGCTGAAGCCTGCCCTGCCTGGGAACAAGGGACCTGGTCTGAGAGAGCTGAGAGGAGCTCCCGGCCTGACACACTGCTCTCCCCTGAGCAGCCACTGTGTCCTGGAGGGGCTTCTGGAGGCCAACCCAGAAATGTCTCTCCTGAAATTGAGGCTGGGCCCCAGGGATGTGCCACTGAGCCCCGGCCCCACCGAGGGGAGCTCTCCCCATCCTTCCTGAACCCACCTCTGCCCCGATCCACTGATGGCGAACTCTCTGCTGAGGAAGCTCAGCTGGTAGGGAGAGGGGGGCGGCGCCGGGCAGGAGGCCCAGAAGCCACAGGCGGCCCATGCCCTGTGACTGATGAGACACCACCAACATCAGCCAGTGACTCAGGCTCCTCACAGTCAGATTCTGACGTTCCACCAGAAACCGAGGAGTGTCCATCCATCACAGCTGAGGCAGCCCTCGACTCAGATGAAGATGGGGACTTCCTACCTGTGGACAAAGCTGGGGGGGTCAGTGGAACTCACCATCCCAGACCTGGCCATGACCCACCCCCTCTCCCCCAAACAGACCCCCGCCCATCCCCTCCTCGCCCTGACGTGTGCATGGCTGATCCTGAGGGGTTCAGTTCAGAGTCTGGTAGGGTAGAGAGGCTACGGGAGAAGGAGAAGGCACAGGGAAGGGGAGGGCGCAGGGCCCTGGGCAGGGCTAAGCCAGTGTCTCCTGCCCGGCGTCTGGATCTTCGTGGAAAACGCTCACCCACCCCTGGTAAAGGGCCTGCAGATCGAGTATCCCGGGCTCCACCCCGACCACGCAGCACTCCAAGCCAAGTCACCCCAGCAGAGGAAAAGGATGGACACAGCCCCATGTCCAAAGGCCTAGTGAGTGGACTCAAGGCAGGACCAAGTAAGTACAACCTGCAAAATGGGAGAGGTTGGGGGTTGGGGCTGGGTGTGGCTGGTCAGAAGCTCCAGAGGTGGGAGAGAAGGGAGGGAGAAGGCTGCTAAAAACGTCCTACTTTCCCTCTCTAACGAGTCCTGGCTTGTCTCTACAGCGGCCTTGGGTTCCAAGGGTGCCTCTGGCTCCCCTATATATTTGGATCTTGCCTACATCCCAAATCATTGCAGTGGCAAGACTGCTGACCTTGACTTCTTCCGTCGAGTGCGTGCGTCCTACTATGTGGTTAGTGGGAATGACCCTGCCAATGGCGAGCCAAGCCGGGCTGTGCTGGATGCCCTGCTGGAGGGCAAGGCCCAGTGGGGGGAGAATCTTCAGGTGAGTGGCAAGGGATGCCAAGGAGGGAGTCTACTCACAGGTTACTCAGAGGCAGTAGTGGACCACAGTCTCTAGTCATAAAAGGACTGAGCCCCTTCTGTTGGCAGTGGGACTACTTGCTACCTAGTCCCTCCAGTGTCCTATCCCCCTCACTTCCCTTCTCTGCACGTTCTCACATCAGGCATGTCTTGTCTCCCTCCCAGGTGACCCTGATCCCAACCCATGACACAGAGGTGACCCGTGAGTGGTACCAGCAGACCCACGAGCAGCAGCGGCACCTGAACGTCCTGGTCCTGGCTAGCAGCAGCACGGTCGTCATGCAGGATGAGTCCTTCCCGGCCTGCAAGATTGAGTTCTGAAAGAACCACGCCTGCCCCTGGACCTGCTTCCCCAGCTCCCTTAGAGAGTGGCTGCTGCTGGCCGGGGCTGAGGGGCATGCAAGCTGGGGTGGAAGGAATGGAGGGCAGGATGTCTTACTGTGGGACTTGGGCTGGGCTAAATGGGAGGCGTTGTCCCTCTCCCTTATCTGTACCTGAGGGACACTCAAAACCAAAGGGTACAAAATTAGGCAAGGTCATTTGATGCCTGAGAACCATGGAGTGACACCCTCCTAGCACTGCCAAATGCTGGTATTGGGTAGGGAGTGAAGATGGGTCTCAGAGAGCAACCTCCTCCCTCATGGAGGGAAGTCATATCCCCAACCCCAGAATGTCTTTATCTCAATCTATTTATTTAACATCCCAAGGAAGGATTTCCAATAGTAATTTATATTAACTGGGGACAGGATACTGTCAGTGAGGTGCCCAGAGGTGCTCCCTCTCCTCCATCTCCCATCCCCTTACCCACCATGGTCTGGCTTCCAGCAGGGGCCTGGGGGTACACTGCTGCTACACTGTCCCACTGCTTCCCTCTGTATCTGAATGTCTCAATCCAAAACTTGAAGCTCTTTTGGCAAACAGATTGGTGAGAGAAGAAAGTTGCTTATCCTCCCAGCTTCACACCATAAACACCCTAGAGCTGTGCCCAGCCAGGCCTACTAGGCCACACTAAGGGACAAAGAAAGCCCAGCCCCAAGCCCAGAATTCTTCCAAACTCCCTGACCCTTTGAAGTTTCCACCCACCTATTCCAATGATCCTGATACCTTCTCATCCCCTGCTTGGCTTCTCTGCATGTGGTCATCTGCTGTGGCCTGGTGTGTCATGGGTTAAAAATAAGCCACTGCCTGACATCCCAACATTGGACACCCCAGCAATGTGTGACTCCCCCAACATTCCACTCTGCCATGCTGCAGCTGGGAGCCCTGGCAGCCTTTCCAGCCCCCAACTCTTGGACAGAGGATCGGGGAGGAGGTGGAGGCCATGCCAGAGACCTTGGGGAAAATGAGAGGGAGGAAGGAAAAAGGGAGATGAAGCTAGCAAAAGTTTAACTCCTACCGAGTGAGTTGAAAACAGGCTGAAAATACCACCCAGGAGAAGACCTCTCCCCAAGCAAGCCTGTGAGCAGCCCTGCCAGACCACCGCGGGACTGAGAAATCCAGCCACTCGTCAGAGCCCAGCATCTGTCAAATGACTGTGGAAACCAAAGCGAGACGGCCTGTGCTCCTCCTCGCTCCCACCTTCCTCTTGCTGCTGTGCTCTGTTCTTCCCCACACTTGCCTGTTGTAGTTCCCAGCTGCTGTAATGGAGCTGCCTCCAGCTCTAACAATAAAATCAAGTTCATTACAGGTGCTGTAGTGCTGCTTGGGGTTTTTCTGATGCCACATTTGCTTAGTTGCTGGGCCTTGAGCTTTTACCTCTGTTTCTCCCAGTATTATTATTTATCTTGATGCCTTTAATAACTGGAAGCAATACCAGGACAGAAGGAAGCCAGAGGACACAGAGTGGGTGAAGGGAGAAAAAAGATGGAATAATTCAGCATAATTTCTGAAAATGGATTAGGATGAGAAACAGGAGCCTAGGTTAAGGACATACATTGGTTTGGGGGAGGACAGAGGAGCAGGCGTTCTCCTGGGAAGATCTGAGTACTATGGGTTAAAAAGCTGAGGACCAAATAACCAGGCCAAATAATCAGATGCCCCGGAGAGGAGAACACTAGAGGCAAGAGGTTCAGGGGCCCTAAGAGATCCAGAGCCTAGTGAAGTTGTAAATACCTCTCACTTGTGCAGTCAGAATTTTCATGGAATAAAGTGTTGGATTTTCTCCCTACAGTGAACCTCTATACTCTTGGGTATTTCAGGAGAGGCCAGGCTGTGAATGAATATATGCAGAGGGGGATATTCCAGTGTTCTGGGCTCTCTCAATGTGATGAAGTCAAGACGGTGAAGAAAGTATAACCCCTTTATGTCGACTCCTGGCACTCACCCTAACACAGCAGAGTGAAAAATTAAGAGGGTGATCCAGGATCTAGAGATAAGGCATGTACCCTCTGGTGCTTTACAGAGACAGAACCTTTCTCCCCTGCAACACTACTCATTTAAGACATTTTGGGATGGTGGACTGACTGCCATAGAGACCTCCTGGGATGCTGGAGCTCTGTATTTTTTATAGCCCCTTCCTGCTCAACTATAATGGCTTTTGCCTGGTTCTGATTAATTCAGTCACAGACACGACTGACTTACAGTCATATTTATACTTGAATTCACAAGGACATCATCACCACCACTACCATTCTCATTATTTCATATTTATTGAGCACTCATAAAGTTCCGGCCCCCACTCCAGTGACCATATTACCTTTCCTCTCACCCCCTATCTTTGGGAAAAGCTTCATAATCACACTTGCCTGTAAAGACACAATGCTACAACGACAAACCTCTTGAGAACTCTGGAGTGTTTGATCTTTGGCCAATCTGCATCTGTTGTATATATCTTTGCTCATGTCTGTACACTATTGATCTCCGTTGATTGCTTAAAATAGAACCTGACTTTTTCTACTGCAGCATCTCCTAAGCCAAGTAGCTCCACAACAGAAGGAGCCCAGCTTCACAGGTCAGCCAAGAACCCCCAGAGCATTTTAAGTAGTTACTCCGAAAATTTCACAGCAATCTAATAGCTATTTTTCCCTAGAGCTATTGCCCAGAGGAACAGGACCGGGGCAAAGGGAGCATCTGGGGATATGGAAATACCCATAAACCCAGTCTAAAGATTAGTGGCCAGGATGGATGTTTGGGAAGGGAGCTCCTTTTCCCCAGACATTTCAGATAGCCATCCCGGGCCCACCTGAGGAGTGCTGGCAAAGACAAGAGTCCCCTGAATGCACATATGGTCAAAGGGTACCTTGAGAAGTTGTGAATATTTCCCCAGAAAAGTGGAAACCTTTAAGTCCCCTTTTGCACCTGCTGTCTCCGGATATAGTCTTTAGCAGTTGTGGCATTTCCTTTAACAATCTGGGATTTCCTGGGATGCTGAGGAGGTTGGATATTGATAGACCAGCCCACCCAGTGATGAAAACCATATTCAACGCTAATGGCTAGGTGAGCCATTATCATAATGTTCCTCCCAAACCCAGTTCGCACATAGCTCTTCGCTTCATGCCAAGAGGACTGCTTCCTTAGAGACCTCTAGTGAGACCCAAGGCTTTTTCCACTGACTGGTGAGTTAGCCAACAGAAAAAATTGCTAGCTCATATGGCTGGTATAGTGTGACACCACTAATGAGAACATGATTAATCACATGTTGCTGGTGGAAGGGCTGAGTGATGGTCATGGGCTAGAGCCTGGCTCTGAGGGTTTGGATCACTGGATGGATACTGCGCTTGGGGAATATCCTCTCCAGGCAGCTGGTCAGTCACCTCAGGGAGCACCCAGGACTGCTGATTAACTTCAGGGACTTCCTGGACCTGCAGATCATCCTCCCCAGGGAACTCTTGAGATGGCTTATCAACCTCAGGGTTGTGCTGAGGCAAGAGATTGATTGCAGAAGCCCCTTGAGCAAGCATGCCAACTTCTACAGAGAACTCCTGGCATGGCTGGCTGAGCTCCTCAGGGATTTCTTGGGCTGGCTCTCCAACAAGGATTTCCTGGACCAGGCTAATCCCTACAGGGAGCTGATGGGCCAGCCTGCCAATCTCTACAGGGACCCCTGGGCATAGCTGGCTGACCTTCTCAGGATTCTCTTGACAAAGCTGGCAAGCCTCCTCAGATATTTTCCGGCATAGTTGGGTGGCATTCTGGCATGGCTGGCTGATTTCAAGGGCCTCCTGGCATGGCTGGCTGACCTCCTCAGCAAACTCCTGGCATGACTGGCTGGTTTCCACAGGTGGTTCCTGTGGGGACTGGTTTTGTTCAAAAGGCTCTTTCTCTCCTTCTATGAGGAGCTCCTGTGCTCCCTTCCCAGGAATCTCTTGGAACAGCTCAAGGCCTTGATGTTCTTCGGTCACATGTGAACTTAGGGAGGGTTGCTCACTGAAGCCAAATTGGCAGTTACCATCCACTGCAGTAGGGGAAGAAGGACCAGCACTGGACACAGTGCTGGAAGGACCACTGCTGTCTGTAAAGCAAGTCAAGAGACTGAGTCAGGCAAGCTGGAAAAGTAGAAGTATTAGAATGAACGGACTATGTTACTTATGTCTTGGAGACAGAGGGTCTGAGTTCTTCCTAAGTAATGTAGAGACTCCTAGCCGAGCTCTGGAACCATTGCTCTGACCTCATGTATACTACAGGAATAGCACTAAGGTACATCTAAGAAATTAAGAATGCTGAGGCCCACTTCTTCTAGTATTTTCCCAAATGTATCCCATCCCAACTCCAAATTCCCATGGCCCTTATTCCTACTTTGGAAGCATGTTAACACTTTATTCCAGTGGTTCATAACTAGGGTTGTATATCAAAATTATGGGAAATTTTTTAAAAATACCAATTTCCAGCTAATACAAATTTCAGGTGAATGTTGGGTGGAAGATTGGGGCTGAGGGCAATATATTTTGTTGAAACACTCCCAATTAAAGCTGATGTACATCTTTTGCTAAGAATTATTTCTCTAAAGCAATAAACATATTTCTGGGGCAGAGATAATCATTGTTTACAGCCCAAATGCAGGAGAATGTAGAAAGCCTTATGAATCAGAAGAGAAGAAGGGAACATTATTTACCTGAAGACAGAAGACTGCCTTGGAATCTCTAAATAGCAGCAGTTTCTTAATTAATCTTCCTGGGGGTCACTAACTTATTTGAAATTCTAATTAAAGTCATGGACTATCTTCCCAGAAAATGTACACATGGATATTCAACTAATCTTTACTTACAGTTCCTGAGGTTCATAGACTTTACCCTGAAATCAATCTGTGGACCCAAGGTTAAGACCCTCTTAGTCTTGGGATATACAATATTATAGGCCTGTGAATACAGTACACATGTAATATATAAAAACTAATTACCCAGGTCTTGACAGAAGGAAAACAAAGACCTTACAGTCTTTAATTACACTGTGGAATAATTCCTACCCCAACCTTTACTTCTTTATTGATCTAGAATAAGGGACAATCTGCCTTTCCCTTTGTAAATATCATGTTTTTATGGTATTGTAACTTTAAAGTACCCTGATATCCCTAATGATAGATTTTGGAAATAGGAGACCCCTGAACATCTGGTTATCAAAGAGAACCTGGAAAAGTTGCAAGGCTGAGCCTACAAAGACTCAATCAGTCATTAAGTTTTAGGCATGCCAGTTCTCTCTTTTCTGTTAAGGATCACAGGAGGCATGCCTCAAGCAGAAAATTTAAAAAAAGAGGAATGTGGTCTGGGGCCAAAAAGGCCCATTTAGGGCAGTCAGACCCAAAGGAAATATTTACCAATGAGGCTACACACCAATACTGAGTCAAAGGTCTGATAGTTGATTAAAGACAAGAAAACAAAAAAAAAAAGGTGTAAACTAAGTGCACCCAAAGATAGAAGTAGCCTTAATTTTCAGCTAGTGGTTTTACTCAGTCTAATCAAAGCAGTCAGACATAAACAGAAGCAGCAGAAGAATTAGATTTCCAGGGGCAGAGAACCCATAAACAGTCCAAGAGAGAGGTAATAGGAGAAATGGCAAGATGAGTATAAGGTCATCTGAAATTTAGGGGAAGAATTCTTTTTGTCAGGAAGAAAAGTTTCTTCTGCATACAGGGTGCCAGGGAAAGGACAAAATCCTACAGTTGTCTACCCCATTGCTGAAATATGAATCTTTGCTACATTCCTATCTAAGTCTAATACAATGATGAAAGCAATGTTTAATTTTAGTTATTCTTTAAAGGAGGATGAATAAGTAAAGGATTTTTCACCACCATGTCTCTGGTCCTTACTCTGTCTCTAATTATCACTGTTATCTCACCATCCCTACAGTTACCCTAAGAACTCCTGTGGTAACACTGTTTACACTGTTACCAAGGATAATTAGTGGTAGGCTAGAGATTATCAAAAAGAGATGGGAAAAAGCTGCATATTGAGTTGAACTCAACCAAGGACAGACAACTTGAAAGAGGAGACATGTAGAAAATAGTAGTAGATTCTAGTTTCCTTCTTCCAGCTTCTCTATATATCCAGGTTTCCTCCCAAGTCATCTCTACTTGAGAAAGCTGTAGAGGCCAAATGAGAACCAAAGGCCTTTTCTTCCCTCAAAGGACCCTCTGGGCTACTCTCTTTTAGTAGCTTCTCCAATGAGACAGAAGGGCATGAAGGACAGAGGTGATGAGATAAAGAGATCTTCCCTTTAACTTGGCAACAGCAGATAAGAACTTCCCTGACTGATTATTCCTGGTCTTTCAACGTTCATCTTCATCTCCCTCCAGTGACAGGTCACTCATTCACCAATCCCTCCATCCTTCTTGACCTTAGTCTAGGCAGTTTCAAAAGGGTTACTTACACCAAGGGGGCTTCTCACAACGCTGCCGGAGTTGCAAGGTAGGTGAATGAAGAGTACGGGGTGGGCAGAATGGGCTATCTGAGGCTTGGCTGCTGTGCATAGAGTCAAAGAGATCTGGATAGGTTGGGGAGTGAGAGGGAAGGAAAAAAAAAAAAAAGACATGTGAGGAAAAATCTGAGAATCACAGGTTCTCAACGTAAGTCAAAACCAACTTCCTCAGGCTGAGAAGTAACATATATAGGAATCTTCACAGGAACCATTTTTAATATTTTAAGCTTTATATTATGAATATTGCCAACATTTCTTAAAACTAGTTGAAAGACTAGTAAAATCAATATGCATATACTCGTATCCTATGTTAATATGTTGACGTGTTGACATTTTGCCATATGTTTCACCTGTTTCTTCATGCTGAAGTTCTTGAAAATAAATGACAGACATTATGAAATATTTCACCTCTAAATGTGCATCTCTAAAATACAAGGAATTTTTCCTACATAGCCATACACCATTAGTAAATCTTATAAAAATTGTTTAGGCTTGACTACTTCCTTGCTGCTGTTCCAACATGCCCAGGATCACCTTGTGCTTTCCTTGGCCTAAACCATGCATTCTCAACGAAACTGGTTCTTGGTAAGGGTGATAAAAAAATCTCCGGTAATATCTTAGATTGGTCTGTAGTCCATCTAAAGGCTACAGTAAATAAACAGATACAGCAGACCCTTGAACAATACAGGTATGAACTGCCAGATCCACTTATACGCAGATAATTCAATATATTGGAAATTTTTTGAGGATTTGTGACAACTTGAAAATTTTTTCTTTTCTCTAGCCTACTTTATTATAAGAATATAGCATGTAATAGATATAACATATAAAATATGTGTTGATCAACAGTTAGATTTATGCTATCAATAAGGTTTTCAGTCAACCATAGGCTATTAGTAGTGAAGTTTTTGAGGAATCAGAAGTTACATGAAGATTTTTGATTGTGTGGGGTGTCAGTGTCCCTAACTCCTGTGCTGTTCAAAGGTTAACTATATATAGTATATCTGTGGTATTAAAACTTCATGTGGTGGGGAGTTGTTAAAGGAAAAAGTGTCTAAAATGGCTCCAAGGGAGGGGGGTATAATTTTTCTTTAAAAGGTTTAAAAACATGGCCATAGACCAAGAATCAGTCATTTCCCATGGAGTCCTGGTTGCTTTTAGAGGGGAATGGTATAAAGAGACCAAAATCTAGATGCTAGAGGAGCTTATTGCTACTGCTTCTAATGTACATTAGAAAAAAGCACGAAAAAACTGAAGTCTTACTGACATTTTCAATTCAAATTTAACTTTAGAGCATTTTTAAAGTCTTGAATTTATACTTGTATCTAATTTATCTTACTTTGAAAATCCTGATTCCTAATAATAGGAACATAATTATTTATTTGCATTACTCTTATTTGTATTACTCTACTATATACGTATATATTTATTTCAAAATTGTATCAATATCACTAACAATTAAACTACTGAAGATTAAAATTATAGCCTTTTTTGTCTCACTAAAGGATTTACCGTAAGAGTATAATATTCTAAAGTTATTTGAAAAATTGTTTTCCCTGTGTGATTATGTTAGTATTTTGATATACAGTTAGGGTAAATTTCTTCTTCTTTTTTTTTTTTTTTTCAATTTTAGAGTTTTCTTCTTTTCCTTTTTGACTTAGTTTTATATTTTGAAAAATACACCACTTCACAAGTCAAAGGTACATAAAAAGGCACACTTTGAGAAGTTGTATTTCCTTCATGCCTTTTAGCCCTAGTCCCTATTGTTCTCCAGAGGTAACCATTTTTAATTAGTTTCAGTTTTTTACCTTTAGCAATTTTTTGCAAATATGTATTTTTCTCTTTATTTCCTCTCCTTACTGACAAAATAGGTAACATACTATTAACACTGTTCTATACCTTGTTAACTCACTTAACAATATATCCTGGAGATTACTTCATATCAGAACATATAGAGCTTCTTCATTAGTTTTAACAGATGCATAGTACTCAACTGATTGGATGAACTAGTTTATTCAACCACTCTTGAAGAATGTTTCAACCATTTGCAAATATAAATAGATAAATAAATAATATAAATAATGCCACAGTGAATAACTGTATACAATATTATTTCAACTTTATGTAGAAAGAGCTCCAGAATGGAGTCCTAAAAGTGGATTATTGTATCAAAGAGTAACTGTATCTGTAATTCTCTGAAACACTACAAAATTTACCTTTGAAAAGTTTGTATCATTCTGCACTCACACTAACAATATATGGGATTGCCTGTCTCACCATAGATTTGTCAAGAAAGTGTGTTGTCAAACTTCTGGATTTTTTTTCCAATCTACTAAGTGAGAGATGATATCTCAGTGTGGTTTTAATTTGCATACTTCCTATAATCATGGTTGAACATTATTTCATATGCATAATGGCTATCTGCATTTCTTTCTTTGTAAACTATCCTTTTTTTAAAAAAAAAAGTCACACTTTTGTAGAAAAATGACAATGTTTTATTATTGAATAAGCAAATCCAAGTTACATGTACATAGGCAGTTTGTATGAAACTATAAAGTCAGGGCATTTTCACAGACATTTATATAAAGTCTGTAGCCATAAAAAATACATGTTTTCTTCAAGTTTTATGAAAAATAAAATAAAATTTTTTTAAATTAAAAAATCACTTTCAGTCTTTCCCTTTCTGATATGTAAGAGCTCTCTGTATTTTAGGATGATTAATCCTGTATGTGACATAAGTCACAAAAAAAATTTCTTTGCTAATGATGTTATTGTTTTGCTTGTTTAAAAAGTTTTAAAATAGCTTAATTCATTAATTTTTTCTATTGTTTCCCAAATTTGAGTTTGAGTCAGAAGGCTTTCCTTACCCCTGCTTATTTTCAGTACTTGCATGGTTTAATTTTTTTTTGGGGGGTGGGAGGTGAAATCCACATAACATAAAGTTAGCCATCTTAAAGTACATAATTCTGTGGCATTCAGCACAATGACAGTGTTGTACAACCACCACTTCTACCTAGTTCCAAAACATTTTCATCACCCTAAAAGAAAACCACATATGCATTAAGTCACTCCTCACTGTGCCCTACCCCCATCCTCTGGCAACCACCAATCTGCTTGGGATATTTCATATAAATAGAATCTTATTTTTTGTGTGTGTGGCTTTTTTTATTTGCATGTTTTTGAGGTTCATACATGTTGTAACATATATATCAGTTCTTCATTCCTTTTTATAGTTCAGTAATACTCTATTGTATGTACACGCTATATTCTGTTTATCTACTCATGCACATTTCTGTTATTTCCACCTTTTGATTATTGTTAATAATGTTACCATGAGCATTTGATTGTAAATATTTGGGTACCTGTTTTCAATTCTTTTGAGTATAAACCTATAAGTGGAATTGCTGGGTCATACGGTAATTTTGTTTAGCTTTTTGAGGAACTGTTAAACATTTTCCCACAGTGGCTGCAGCAGTTAACATTTCCACCAGCAATGAATGAGACTTCCAGTTTTTCTACACCCTCACCAACATTTAATTTCTGTTCTTTTTCTTTTCAAAACTATAGTCATCTCAGTGGTTGTGAAGTGGTACCTCATTGTGGCTTTGATTTGCATAGCCCTCCTGAATGATCACCTTTTCATGTGCTTCTTGGCTATTTATATATCTATGAAGAAATGTCTATTCAAGTCCTTGGCCCATTTTTAAATTGAATTGTCTTCTTCTTTTTGAGTTGTTATATTCTGGGCCTTTATTGGATATATGATTTGAAAATACTTTTCCCTTTCTGTAAGCTATCTTTTCACTTTCTTGATAATGTCCTTGATGCACAAAAGTTTTTAATTTTGGTAAAGCCCAATTTATCCTTTTATTCCCTTTTGTTATTTGCTGTGGGTACAATTGTAACATTTCCAGAATATCTCGCCTGGCTTTGGTACATCTGAATATCAACAGGTGTTCAGTGGTGGAAAGAAGTATGGCTTTAGTGCATTTGCATTATTCCTCAGGGGTGGAGAGACGTTCATCTCCATATCAGTGGGTAATTACCCGGCAAAGGAGGGCTTAACTGAACCTGAGAAGTGAGGGAGAGGGCCAGTTTTTGGCTTCTGCTGGAGCAGGAAAGAGAGAAAGCCTCAGACTGCAGTTTGTGAGCAATAAACAGATTTTAAACTTTATTTCTCCCTTTGACTGATTTTGGTTTTTTTTTTTTTTTTGAGAGGATCTCTCATATTTATTGATCAAATGGTTGTTAACAACAATAAAATTCTGTATAGGGGAGTCAATGCTCAATGCACAATCATTAATCCACCCCCAGCCTAATTCTCGTCAGTCTCCAATCTTCTGAAGCATAACGAACAAGTTCTTACATGGTGACCAAATTCTTGCATAGTGAATAAGTTCTTACATGGTGAACAGTACAAGGGCAGTCATCACAAAAACTTTTGGTTTTGATCACTCATTATGAACTATAAACAATCAGGTCAAATATGAATATTTGTTTGATTTTTATACTTGATTTATATGTGAATCCCACATTTCTCCCTTTATTAATATTATTATTATTTTTTTAAATAAAATGCTGAAGTGGTAGGTAGATGCAAGATAAACTGATTTTGGTTCTTAGAGGTATTTTGCAGTAGGATTTCCTCTCCCTGGACTCACACACATGAACAACATTGTGGTTTCAACATTCAGCCATATTATCAAGTTCTCCTCCCACACCCACTGCAATCTCTATCTATCAGTGTAGTAAAATGCTATAGAGTCCATTGATTAATTTTGAGTTAATTTTCGTATATGTGTGAGGTAGGGGTCCATCTTCATTCTTTCACATATGGATATCCAGTTGTTTCCACACCACTTTGAAGAGACTATTCTTTCCCCATCAAAGAGTTTTAGCACCCTTGTTGAAAATCAACTGGCCACAGATGTATGGTTTAATTTCTGATTCTATTCCATCAGTCAATGTTTTTCTTTAATGGCAGTACTACACTGTTTTTATTTCTGTACCTTTGTGGTACGTTTTAAAATCAGGAAAGTATGAGTCCTCCAAATTTGTTCTTCTTT